GAGTTGCAGCACTTCGAAGCGACCCTTGCATTTTTCTGGATATCTCCGCGAGAAAAGTGCAAGGTTCGCTTCGAAGCGCCGTAACTTCGCGAAGAAAAATCGTAGCCTCGTTTCTGTTTTTCCAAATCGAAGAGGAAGAATCGAATTTTATTCGACGCTGAACGGCATCTCCGAGAAAAATTTTACAAAGTCCGTGCGCTTCTTCGAACTCGGCAGGTTTTTACTCGACAAACACGGTCGCAGATTTAAAGTGTTACAGCGGCGAGGATGCGTTCAACTTAAAATCCAGAAACGTTGTTTAAAAGTAGAGGTTTCAAGCTTTAATTCAAGAAAAAAGTCATCGTCCTACGACGATTTCTCGCGGAGTTATCGACGATCAAATTTGGCCGACTTTCGTCCAGAATTTGTCTACGCTACAATTTCGTTTATTTGATCGAGCAGATTCCGCGGCGGCGGCGCGTTTCACGGAAACGCCACAGAAATTGTTTCTCGAATTGTTTCTGGCCGCGCGCGCGTTTTTCACCCCCGCGTTTCACTCCCACGGGCCACACCGCCCACGTAACCGTGAGATGTTTATACGCGTGGACGAACGGATTGTTTGTCTAGGATCTTCCCTCGGCTGACGGAGAGAAGGAACCGGAACCGTTTGCGGGAGGGTTAAAGGGAGAGCCGGAGCCACCCTTTATCCGGGCTGGATCCACGTGCTCCGGCCCAGCGAGTCTCGGGCCGCGGCCGGCCGCGGTCACTCGAAATTCTCCGGACATCGAAATAATCGCCGCGCGATTCTCTGCGAACCGCGAGTCCGCGCGAGTTCTCCGCGTCGGTCCGGATGCCGTTCATTGACGGCGCATCGGAACAGGAAGGAGACGAGCCGGCTAGGAATAATGCACTTAGCGAAAGCAACAACAGGTATTTTTGACGACCTAGATACCGATCGATCGGCTCGGCGGAGCCCCGGTGCTCCTAGGCGCTTCGGTTTCGGCTGTGAAAAGCCCTGAACCCCGCCGCGAGATATTATATAACGCCGCGCGGACAATCGAATCCAAGGCGCGTCGGTGGCGATGCTGAAACGCGCCGCGGAGATCCCTCGATTCAATTTCATTTCGCGCAGCAGCTGTCGGACGCGCGAATGCCTCGCGAATAACCGATGCAACACGAGATCGCCACACATCATCACGGCCGAGCACACACACATACCCACGCTTCGTCGCCGACCGTCGAATTCGACGGGGCCCGTCGCCCCGGTCCTACCCAAAGAAAGAGTTGCAATTTTCAAAAAACGAGCCTCTCGAGTCGAGCGGAAAATGCTCGGTGAAAACGGCCATCGAGAGGCGCCGCGTGTGCGCGCGGACACAGGGGTAATGACCGGATGAACAGCGCTCGAGTTTTCAAGATTCCTTAATCATTCATGCACACGCGGAGATTACACAGGAATTAGACGCGATTAATTGGATTCGGCACCTCTTGGCCGTGTCTCGGGCTCGCGAGCGCCGAGCGTGTTGCATTGCGTTTTATTCGAGTCGTTTTTATTGTTATTATTAGTATTATTGTTGTTCGTTAACGCTGGAACTACCGAGCCCTAAACGCGGCGGCTAATTATATTGTTTTATAGCAACGCCAAGACTGGGCTTGTTTAACGCTAAAACTATCAAGTTGATGGAAATGACCAATTTCATATCTTGTATTTGAAAATTGCAGAAATTGTAAAGACTGTTTCACAGGGAACGAGTGAATCGATTTCTTAATTCGAGTATTTGCTGTGTTAAAAATTGTGGAAAGTGTAAATAAATTCGGTCTTGTCTTTTTTCTCACAGAGCAGGGATATTCTGTAGATTTAGTGTTGAACATCCTGGGATATATACTATAATATATTATAATAATATAATATAATATATATACCTCTCTCG